AAAGAAAGAAAGAAAGAAAGAAAGAAAGAAAGAAAGAAAGAAAGAAAGAAAGAAAGAAAGATGCAGTTTTCATATCACAGTTGAGTTTTTCAACTGTTATGTTTCATAACTGCCTGGCACCAAGAAAACGGATGCCAATGTTTTACCCCAGGGGTGGTCCAACCTTGGCAATTTTTAAGACCTGTGGACTTCAGCTCTCAGAATTCCCGAGCCACCTGCCTGGGGAATTCTGGGAGTTGAAGTCCACAGATCTTAAAAGTTGCCAAGATTGGACACCTCTGCTTTACCTACAGTAATGGCTAAAATTGTGGAAACCTTTTGGGGAAAGTGTATTTTCGAGGTTTGATGGCTAATAACACCACTTTTGTTTTTTGGAGTAGTACCATAATATTATACATCAATGGAAAGATAATTTAATCAAGAATGTAATGTAACAAAGTTTGTTCAATTATCTGTATTCTATGGAAAGTTATAGCCAAATATAGCCAGCAATAAAATCAGAAGCAATCATTCAATCTTGGTTTCGTATTATAACAGCTGCAGAACTAAAAGACTTGGTTCACTCCAGGGGAAGATGTCGTAAGGCCGTAAAGGTTACCCAACTAAGTATTAACTGACGTGGTAATAATTTTTGTATACCTCGTTTTTTCTACATGTTTCACTTTTTTTCTTTGTAACTGCTATTCTAATAGCAAATCCTTCATAAACGTTACCGCATTACATTCTTGATTAAATTATCTTTCCATTGATATATAATTTTATGGTACTACTCCAGTGGTGGGTTGCCAATTTTTCTACTACCGGTTCGGGCATGCTCGCGGGAACGCATGACACTTATGCGCAGAAGCATCCGGGCGGATGGGCGGAGCCTTCCACTACCGCTACTACCGGTTCGGTCGAACCGGGAGCAACCCACCTCTGTACTACTCCCAAAAATAGTGGTGTTATTAGCCATCAATCCTTTAAAATACTGTACGCTTTTCCCAAAAGGTTTCCACAACTTTGGCCACTACTGTATTTAATCTGCACCGTTTAAATCACTCATTTGGACCTCCAGCCATCAACTCCCTGAGATTTTGGCTAATATGATTGCAATGAATTAATTTTGATTTGAATGAAAAACGATCGGGCTAATACTATCTACAAGGGAACCATAGGAAGCAGCCTCCAGGGATTCCGAAAAGCTCCCAAATCTGTAATTATAATTTCTCTAGGAGTCATCTTGAGCCATCGTAGCTCAATTCTCCCCTTCAAACGTATTTGGGCAACTACGGAATTTCTATCTCATGTGTCAGTTGGGAGTTTTAACTCCCCGCACACTTAAAGGAGGTTTGTAAATCTTCAGCTGGTGTTGCTTTAGTGCAGCGTTCACCAAACTTGGTAACTTTTAAGACTCCTGGACTTCAACTCCCAGAATTCCTCAGCCAGCACGGCTGGCTATGGAATTCGTCTTAAAAGTTGACAATTTTTGGAAGCCTCTGCTCTACCGTGGTGGTGTTTCTCAACCTTGCCAAATTCCTCCGTCAGAATTCTAGGAACCGAAGTCTACCCATTTTGACCAACGTTGAGAAACAGAGTTCCAGTGGAATGGATAGGGAAAGCTATCAAGGAGCTACCAAAAATGGGCACTTTTAGTTTTAACAATTTGGGGTACAAACAAATAAACTTTCAAAAGATCTCCAGTAAACTTAGCTATTCCAAAGTAGAAGGAATGCAGTGAAGCAGAAAGGCCACAGATGAGGAAATATTGTGAGCATGGACAGGATGGATGGGTAACTAGGATTCATGATCTAGCCAGGATGACTGATTTAACTAGGATTGAATTGCTGAAACAAAAAGGCTCCCTCGGTTTGAACAAGATGAAACAGGCGTGAAATCTAGAAGGAACTGAGACAAGGAGCGGAAGCAACAACCACGGAGTGTTTTTCCCCCCATGTAGCCACCACATAGTGGCCCCCGTGGAATTAAAGCAGCGCATCGTTATAAGCAGCACAGAATCCGTACAAGGAAGCTGCACATTTAACTGCCGCCATTTCTCTCATTAAAAAAAACAAAAACACCCCACAACATATTCAAGTTTTCTAAGTCTGCAGCTGCTGGTTCCTCAATGCCCAGAGGTGGTTTCAGGAGTGATATCTACTTATCTTCGCTACCGGTTTGCAAATGTCAGCGCACGCACCACCTCTGCGCATGCGCAGTGTCAAAAACGGACGTGAGGACGTCTGGGTGGGTGGGCGGAGCCTGCTACCATGCGCACCTGCGAAGGTTAGAAGAACAGCGGGGGGAGGGGGGAATCCGCTGTGCCACACGATTTAGATTAGCTCAAAAGCAAGAAATCCTACTTCCTAGCTAATCTGAATCTCACGTCACAGCTGATCCGTCAGAAATACCGGTCCAGGCGTTTTTGTACTACCAGTTTGGGCGAACTGGTCCAAACCGGTAGCATTTCACCCCTTGTTGGTATTCAGCCAATTTTCAGGCGCGGACAGTGGTGGGATTCAAATAATTTAACAACCGGTTCTCTGCCCTAATGATTTCTTCCAACAACCAGTTCACCAAACTGCTCAGAAACTTAACAACTGGTTCTCCCGAAGTGGTATGAACTGGCTGAATCCCACCACTGTCCGCGCCTGAAAATTGGCTGAATACCAACAAGGGGTGAAATGCTACCGGTTTGGACCAGTTCGCCCAAACTGGTAGTATAAAAACGCCTGG